CTCTGGGCCGTCGTGCCTCGCTGGGGCGACCCGGGCCGCGCGGGCGCTGAGCAGCTAGGACAGCCTGCGGTGGCGTCCGCGGTGGGGCACGAGCCTTGGCCTGCTTTGGACCGAGCTGCCTCTGGACTACGAGCCTCCGTGAGGAAAACGGGCCGCTCCCAGCCCCAGAAACAGGTGTCTCCTGGACCCCAGACAGGAAATGTCCGACTTCCACCCAGAGGATTTTCTCTGCCGGCCGCTCTGCAGATTGTTCAAAGGGCACAGCTGCCTGTCTCACTTCCAGAACACTATTACCATAAACCCTGATCTGCGGTGGAGATTAGATTTCTAAGCAAATACGCTCACTTCTCAGCAGTTTGGCCATTTTTAATTTTCAATTTCCTATTTTCTAGCAAACCAGCATTCAGGTCCTGGGACTGTTACCCTTCCTTGGCCTCTTCCCCCAGCCCACATGCCCTCTAGTTTTTGCCTGAGAACCCTACGGCCCCCAAAGGGACACCTTCTATCCCTAAGCCGTTATGTGGTTTTACCTACCTTCCGGCATAACACGGTTTCTTTCTTTCCCACCCTCCTTCTAAGTACCCCCATCCTCCTACTCCCCATCCTTGCTAGAGCAGCATCTGGAGTTCACAGGAAAAATAAGGGGACACAGGACAGTTGCTGGACAAGACCAAGACTAGCAATAAACTTGGGGCCAGGACTGGTCTTCCTTGCTGGGAGAAAGCAGGAACCCTAATGAGGTCTATGTCATGTTGGAAAAATGCACTCACAGTGCTGGAGTAGAATAGGTTGTGTGTGGGGTGGGGGTAATGGAGGGTTGCAGGTGTCTGTATAAACTTGCAGCAGGTTCTCCAAAGGGCGATAAGGTGGGGTGAGGGGAGAGAATGTTAGCTTGGCTCCTTTCCCTTTTCATTGCTTGTGACTTTGCAGTCCCCTTTTGTTCCTCTTCAGGAGGAATGGGACTCCCTCCCTGGCGTCAGAGCTTCCCAGAGGCTCCCAGAAACAGATATACTGAGGTAGCCCATTGCTCATACGTTAAAAAAAGTCATGAAATGATGGAGATACGTGGGGTGGGGGCAGCAGAGGTGGAGAAACTATGAACTTGACTCCCAGCGGCTACAAGTGTTTGTCTGACTCTGCCTAAGCTGAGCCCAATAACCTACAAGGTCAACATAAATCAATAATAGGCTCTTGGGATAAGTGGTCTTTAATTACCTCCCTAAGGACACATCTCTCTTTCTTTTCATCTCTCAGGCCTGCTAACAGTGCTAAGTTTAAGAAGAAACCAAAGGAAATAAAACTGGCAGGAGGAAGGGAATGTTTTCACTCTTGCTCAACTGACTGCTTTAATTTTGGTGTTGCCTTTAAAACAAAACCATTGCCTGAGACCACCTCTGCATCACCTTTTCCCTTTCCTCCTTCTCTGACTTCCTAGCAGTTCCATGTATTTCCTGTAAGGGAAATGATAATTGGTCAAAGCTGTCTCTTTGTAACCTTCCCTGCCAACTTTCAAGCGCACATTTACTCTTTCTCAGTTTAGCTTTTGGCAGAGAAAGAGGTAGAATTTGAGTTTGCTAACTCTCTCCTCCCTCCACATTTGAGTTAATCAGCCAGGGTATTCAATAAATCGAAACTTTAACATTCCATAAGTGCTTTAGCAGTCAACATTCCAGCAGGGTAAAGTAGGCCAGACTTAAGATATAAAATATTATAGATTTCTGCTTGGGGGGACGAGGTAGTCTCCAAAGGCCACGTAAAGTAAATAGCTATTTGTTGTAATTGGAGAGCAGGGCCCCCAAGGATTACCCTGGAATCCATGTGTTCAGAACAAGTCAGGCTGAGCCCAAGAGCAGCCGAGACTCCAAATAATAACCTGTTGGCACAGCGTACTTCCCCCAACCCCCAGTTCTTCAATCAGTAGCCAGGAGTATTTTTCTCTCTGCCTCGCTGGTGGTGTTTACATGACGTTCAGCGGGGTACTGACATTCCTTAGGGGCACCTGTGGGCCAGCGGAGCAGAGCTCTGGAGCCAGACTGGAGGAGAGGCCTCCGCCAGGTGGGATGGAACAGGCTCATGTAGTTGCTTTGGTTTTTGAGTGATCTGGTTCTTATTTGGCAACATGCCAAAGCAGCAATGTCTTGGCCCTCACAGTCTGAAAGGATGGCTGAGGGAACTCATTTAATGTGAAACCACATTAAATGACACATTAGCCAGACATCTAGCTAGATGCCGGCATATTGGGGTTCAGGATAGATCAGTTTTGACTCTGACCATGGGGGGGAAGGGTCTAAGAAGAGAAGCATCTGCAAATTATCCAGCAAACTCCATAGCCCAAGATGAACAGGTCAAGATGACGCCGAGAAGAGGGAGGTCCTGGGCCTTGCCGCGAAGGTTATAAGTACCCACGACAAATTTTGGCTATTTAACACTTTGCCTCAGCACTTTGTTGTTAATACCGCCTCTCCAGTTATAGCTGGGAAAATGTAAAAATGACCTGGTTTGTCTCTCCTTTTATGCTGGCTGGGATTCAGGAGGGTTAGGAATGATCAATTGCATCATCATGTGCCACTGGGTTCCCACAATTTAAATCCAGCTAATGGGAAAGTTGGCAAAGGCAAATGATGCCCAAAGACAGCTGGGCAGGGATGATTCCAGATGTTGGAGACCCATGTTATGTACACAGTGCTAGTGACTTCCCTATGATCTGTCCTTTGGCATCAGGGTTAACAGAGAATTAGAGAAAAGCTGAGCTGTGGTGACTCAAATGGTCACACCTCTTTGGTTCCATGATAAGTTCTAATGCTGGGTCTTAGATGGTGAGATCACAAACTATCCTCTGCTACTTAATGAGCACAAGGTGGTCAGAGACACGAGATACTTAAAGACTGAGAGAGCTAATACTTGAAGCTCCTAAGTAACCTATCTAAGCAAAGTGAAGCAAAACAGGCTCCAGTGGGTTGGTAACCCTCAAAGTTCACCACCCAAAACTAAATCATGAGCTGATTTCTTTCATTTTCCTGCCATACTGGCCACTCTCCTTTGAACATAGCCCTGTTTTCCTGAACCTGTCTAGAAACAGCACTCTAAGAACAGCGCTCTCAAGATGGTCTAACAAGGCAGAACAGAGTGGGCAATCCGCTCCCTCATGCCAGTTACTGGCATCTTTGGGTGCAGCCTTAGATCACATTAACTTTTTTTGCTAGAAAAAAAATTGTATGCTTTAAACAATTGTACTGTTTATATTATTAGTTTTACACTAGTGTTTTAATCAGGATCACTCACAATAAGCCAACCTTGTTCAATCATATCCCTTAAGCCATTGTTGTATATGTTTTGCCAAAACACACGTTCCCATTCCGAAGATGGACTGATTTGCATTTAATAAAAATACACAAAAACACACACACACAAAAAAACATGTTTTCAAGAAAATATTCATGGTTGCCTGAAGTGGGGAGGCAGATGGGAGCGTAATATGGAGATAAAGAGAAAGAAATAGATAAATAAATACCCCTCACGTAGACCAATTATGATATAGACCATGAACTAAGGAAAAGGATGAACTCAACTCTCTGTGCTTGAGGCCCACCCTCCCTCAACAAAACCCCAAAGACAAAATATATTGAGTAATTTGTTTGGGGACCAAAGTGCAGGCCTTTACATTTTTTCTAATTAAACTTTATTGTGTTGGAGTCAGCATATTTTCCCATTCTTTTGAAACCTCATTGGATTTTGATTGTGTCACCCTCTCAGCTATATGTCTTCTGGAACTAGGGTAAGCATTTCCCCCTATGTCCTCTTACAAGTCGTTTATTAAAAAGTTAAACAGGACCAAAGTGAAATCAGAATCTTGTGTGATGCAAGGAAAGTTTTTGGTTTCTTAACTCAGTGACTCCTTAAGCCCATGCTCGAAACCAGGTGTTTCTCCTTCCCTTCCTACCATCTTTTGTCAATCTCTTTTCTCCAAAATGCCTTTCTTTGTGCTATCAAATTTGGTGACAACTAAGCTGAGAGTAAACCTTGGAGGGTTTTACTGCTGGAGACCAAAGGCCATACTCTGGGTATTCTATACCAGGGCAGCAGCACAACCTTACATTCTCCCTAAAGACTCAAGTGGCCCGAAAGCTGCTGCTCTCGAATACCCACCCACCAGCCTGAGTCACTGGAGCTTTTTAGGAGACTTCCCACTGGAGCATTAAAACTGGATTTCAAAATTAACCACTTACGTTTTTGAGTGATCTTAGAGGAATCAGTCCCACTCTGTATGTAGGTTACACAGTACTGTTACCCTTAAGAATTGCACTTTTGGATAAGAAAGGCACCGAGATATGGGTTCATTTTGTTCCTTTGAGTCAGTTATGTCAAGTTTTGGTCTTACAACATTGAAAGCTATGGCTAGAGACAGGAATATCAAGGAGAAACCTAGGTGACCATCACACCTGTACGCACATAACAGATGTGCTACATTAGGACAAAAGTGGAAAATCTTCAGTGTCACTCGGATTTCCATTCTAGGTCCTTTTTCCCTCTTTTTTTTTTAAATTATTTTTTCCTCCTACTGCTTCTGGGTAATTGAAAACATTTTCAAATTCTCACCTCTAACCTTGTCAGCTACAGGGACATTTCTGAAGTCTTCCCTTTCCCCTTAAAGTTACAACATCTCAAGTCAACATCAAGTCCAATACTACCTGCCAAATCTGTGCCATAGATTAACTTAAAACCCTCCAGAGAAAAGGGGAGAATGACAGGCTTGTCAGCCTGGGGCTTTGCTGACTGAGAAGACTTTTTAGGAGAAAGCTCTCAGCATGCCATTTTTGCCTTAGTGACCTGTGGCTTTTGCTAGAGTCAAAGGCAGAGAATTGATGGTCTCCTGTGGCTTTAAAGGTATGGAGATGAGGCGCTTAGAAGACAGCAAGGTAATTCTGCCTGCTCTATGGGAAGAGAAGAAAATGACCTTTAATGGGATTTAAATGTAGTAGTTAGCAGCAGTAGCACTGTGGGGCTTTTATAGCCAAAGCTTCCTTGTGGTCTCTTCCTTATAATATGCTTAAGAATATTGAATAGATGTAGAGATTGTTTCCCCCATTTTACTTATAGAAAAACCGAAGCCCAGAGAGGTTCAGTGTCTTTCTTGAGGTTCCATTCTGGCGGCAAAAGGTGGTTTCATCAGGTAACTCAACAAAGGCACACAGGGCTGGCCTCTAGTTGGGGATAAATGACATAGCTCAATCACTCGCTTCCTCTGAACTTGATGTGAGTAATGGAAATGGCATTCACTTTTTCCTCTAGGAATCCTGGAGTTTATCAGTCTGGCTGTGGGGCTGATCAGCATTCGGGGAGTGGATTCTGGCCTATACTTGGGAATGAATGAGCGAGGAGAATTATATGGGTCGGTAAGTTTAAGGTTTTCTCTTCCTCAGACGCTCTTGCCACCAGTGTTTGGACAATATAAGATGAATGTATAAAAACATTTACTTAGCATTTAAAAGGACTTGTCAACTTAAAAGATTAGTGTCTTCTAGTCACTTCGTGGATATCAAGGGACTTGCTGTGTAACATTTTCACTCCTTCAGCTCCCATCAAAACATGTTTTCCTGTGGTACATTTGCATTTGCTTTTTCCATTAGGAAGCCAGCTAGTCTGATGATATGGGTAAGCTGTACTGGTTTTGTCAGTAGAGGTAAAGGGCTTGGGGGCTCTCACCAGGTCATGTTTCAGTGGGTGCCCAGAAAAGTAGCAGACTATCTGACACAAAAGTAGACAGTGGAGGAGATGACCTTCAGATTGAAGATTCTGAGATTAACAACACAGTCCCTGATTTCCAGATTGCTTCAGATGAATCCTAAAGGCCAAGTGAAACAAACAAATGAAGAATGAGGGTCCCAGGGTCTGGTGACAGCCCTAAGTCCCCAGCTAGGACTGGGCTGACTGCACTGCATGCTCTTTATGCTGGAAGCTAGCCCAGAGCTGGGGAATGGTGAGTGACTTTGCCGATCTTAACACTTTCAGGGGATCCCAACTCCTGACTTTGGCTTTTGAGTCACATAGCATGCTTTCTGGCTATCTGCACCCCATGAAATCAGAGCACATTTTTCCCTGACACCTAAGAGATAGCCCTGTCCCCAGCACTCAGTATCGGCAACCCCAGCAAGTAGTATGGCGACTAGATCAAGTGTGAGAAGGAACAGAACAAGAGACCCAAGAGCTGCCAGCTTGAAGTATCCAGAGTGGGGGAACTTTACAAGGAGATCTTTTCTGAGCTTCCAACTGACAAGCGTGAGACCCTTCATTAGGAAAGATCACAGCTCACCTCCCATGGAGCTTTATATAGATCCAAGCCTTTGCCTGTCAGTTGACATGGTTGACTGTAATCTCAATAGATTTGAACACCATTAGCCCTAAGTAGAGGGGAAGCTCAAGTGTGCCAGGGAGCACTGGAAGGCCATAGCAAAAATTCTCGGGGCTCAGGGTCAGATGAGGCCTTCTCCTGCAGTTTCCTACCCTCAGGAAAGATCTTACCTAAAACATGTTTGTGTCTCTGGAAAGAAGATACCTTAGTAATATTGGCAGATGGGACTGAAATTTTCTAATGCCATCATGCTATTGCTATTTCAGGGTTTTCCACCAGCAAGCTGGGGTGGGAGAAATAGTCATATAATGGACTCTGCTTTATTTTCTCACCCTCACAGAAGAAACTCACACGTGAATGTGTTTTCCGGGAACAATTTGAAGAAAACTGGTACAACACCTATGCCTCTACCTTGTACAAACACCCGGACTCGGAGAGACAGTATTATGTGGCCCTAAATAAAGACGGCTCACCCCGGGAAGGATACAGGACTAAACGGCACCAGAAATTCACTCACTTTTTACCCAGGCCAGTAGATCCTTCTAAGTTGCCCTCCACGTCCAGAGACCTCTTCCGCTATAGGTAATAATCCTGAGTCTGACCTCTGCGACCCGAGTGCTCTGGGGCATGGTTGTCTCTGCAAGCACTATACTCATAGCTTTTCAATCTTCCTTCCTATCAATTTAGATAACAGAGAAGCACTTACTGTTCAACTCAACCCAGCCATTCCCTCGTTGTTCAAAGTGTATATCAAGGTTGGGTTATTTTGGGGAGGGAAGTTGAGGGAGGGGGTGGGTAGAGGGAATCTTGTATATACATTTTCTTTACTCATGTTCTTTCCCCTGAGGTGGCATGAGGAAGAATAGGGACCTCTGCCAAGGGCCGGGGTGTCTTGCCCCACAGTCTACCCAAATAATTTGCTGATGGGTAAAGAAAAGACCAAGAAATCTACTGTAGATGCTACCTACAGAGCTCTGGAGAAGTCTCATTCAGAAAACCCTCAGGGCTACAGCGCTGCTGCAAGCCATCCCTGCACGGCACTGCAGCTTCCTCCTCTGTCCTGAAATGCAGTTTTCCTGCCATTGAAGTGGAAGCTACGTTAGGTTATGAGAGTATGACACTAAAGTGTAAGCATGAATACTGTGCATAGGACAAACTATTTATGAAATGTATATGCTATTTATTTTATATATTTATTTATTTCAAAATAATTTTATTTTTAATGAGAGATGCTATGACTGGATTCTCATCAGAAAGAATAAGGTCCTACTGAAACAGGATAAATGAGTTATTAAAGGCTTTTATTGGCAATAAAATTGTCTTTATATTGTAAGTACTGTTTTATTCTAGTGATTTGCACATTTAGTGGAACTAGAATGTTGGTTAGCTTCTTGCTCTCCAATTCACTGGAATCTCCTGAAGATCGTGTCAAATGGAAGACCTTCAAACAGGCCCCTGTATGGAGGCTGGTAGCAATAACAGATATCCAACTGTCTCTTTGTCTCAAGAGTCTCCTCTCCTCTATTCCACCATAGACTGTTTCCCCTCTAACCACTTTCCAGTTTCTACACAAGGTGCGGGATCAACCCTGTCCTTCATCATTGAACTGGAGCAAAAGACATGCAGATTACATGTCTGAATTTTATATCTGAATTCCTTTCCTTACTTACTCTTTGACCTTGAACAAGCTCATTAATTCATTCAATAATTCAACAAAAATTTATTGAGCAAGTATTACACCTTTAGAAATATAACAGCAGAAAAGCCAGACACTGTTCCTTTCTTCTTGACTAGGTCTAGGTTGGAAGACAGTGAGGCTATTACTAATCAGGAGCTATAACCTATTAAAGAGGTTAAGGGAAGGTTTCCTGGAAAAGATGTTGCTGATAATCAGGATGAGCCCTGGGGGGTGAGACAGCTCAGTTGGGGGATAGGAATAGATTTCAAAGAAGGAGAAGAGGAATATGTAAAAGTCCACAGGCAGAAAGGAGTTAAACATGATAAAAAAAAAAAAACTACAAGAACTTAGTAAGATAGAATTTTAGTTAGTCACCGTGTCTTCACCTGTAAAATGTGGATGATCACTATACTTACCTCAAGGACGGTTGCTGTGATTAAATAAGATGATGTATGGAAAGAATAAAATGCTTAGCACAGTGACTGGTGCATGGTAAGCACTCAGTAAGTTAAATATTGCTATCAACTTCAGTTCATTGCTCATTCTTAGCAGTATTAATGTGAAGCTTTATTTCCGAATGAGCACGTCACTCCATTCCCTCTCCTGAGATGTGTTCCCTTAACAAAGGACAGGCACCAGAATCAAGATGGCAGACACAACAACCATGCCATACAAATGTTGCCCTCTTACTAAGAACATTTAAGGAGAGCACCGTCTTGGAATCTCCATCTTCTAATGTACCTGTATGAATAAACCAGCAATTAAAATTAACTCAATAAAAAAAGTCATCAGTCAGCTTTTCTTTTAGTTATATTTAACAAAGTCCTAGGACCCTACCTTCTCCAGGCTCCTACACCTTGAATAGAGAGTGTCACCTAGGTCCCACATATCCAGAATCCTCCATCTCCATTCTCTTCCTTACAGTATTACCCTCCAAGCCCCATCTCAGTTCCCTCTAATATGCAGACATATGACATCCAGTAACCCCCGGAGGCAGGAGCATGTTTACCCTGTTGGTTTGCAATTTCACTCTGTCCTAGCAGCTGTAAATATTCCAAGTTTCTAAAACCCTTCACACCACCCTAACCTCACTTAACACTACATATTAGAGATTTTCCCACACTTTCCCCCTTAAACCGTTATACCCATACCCAAATGGGCTCAGAATTCTCCCCATATATAAACCCAGGGAAAAGTCTCCTCAATGTATAGTCTGCAGGCCATGCACATATCTAGAACAGGGTAATTTAAAGACTCCCAACCCAAAGCCCTACCGAACTCTGAAGTGCCTCTTTTCTCCACTTCTCCTGGTTTGCCAACCTTGCTTAGATAAAACTATGAAAATTGGTTGATCAAATTATTCCACTACAAGTGGAAGTTTTATCACCCTCAAATGAACCAGCCCCTTTCTGTTCAACAATCCTTTTCTTCACTTAGTTTTGATTCTGTCCAGGATTCATCACATGTCATCATAAAAATCCCTAACATCTAAACACCTTTATATTGGCTCCATGGAAACTAAACTTCTCTTGTAAGTACCTGACTGATTTGTCCAAAAATGTAAACTGGATCCTACTGGGACTATCTAAATTGGAGTTTCCAACTGAGAGGCATGGTTGTCTATACGAATGGTTCTCAAGTGTTTTGATCTGAGGTATCCTTACACATTTAAAAATTGATGACCTCAAAGAGCTTTTGTATGTGTGGATTATAGCTATTGGTATTTACCATGTTAGAAATTAAATCTCCGAAATTTCTGTTATAATACATTTATTATCATAAAACAAAGTTAATCTAACATTTCTGAAAAATAATATTTTCAAAAATTTAGTGCAGAGAGCAGTATTATTATACACTTCTCCAAATTTCATTAATGGCTACTTTAATAGCAGATAGATGAATTCTTTCATCTGTTTCCCCATTCAATCTGTTATAAACTTAGATAAAGTATAAGGAGGAAATCTGGCTTCCCTTAGATCTGTAATTAGAATAGAAAGGACCTCACAGACCCCCAAGATCCTTGAACCATACTTTGACAATCATTGATCTCTGTATTAAACAAGTCCCTAACTAAATCTTACCATGAGGAGTGATGCTAAGCACTGCATTTTTCATCTGAGATGTTACAAATCTCAGTTCTGAGCTTCAGTTTGTTTTGGTTCAGGCACTCTGGTCTCTCTGTAGATGAAATCTCTAACATGCAATCCCTCTAGTAGTGACATCTTAAAAATCATTTTTGTTTTGTTTTGTTTTTGCACTAACTTGTTTTATTTATATTTATACTGAGGTTTACAACACTGTATATGATTTAAAGGTATAGGACCACCCCCTTCAGGAATATGTTACCGCACCACACCCTCTTCCAATGTACTGAAAGTCCTCCACTATAGTCTTTCTCCTCACTTTGCTCTCCTCCTATCTCCCTTCTGATAGCCTGAAATCCACAGTCAGATTTCTAGGGTGTGTTATTGATTTGTCTTTTTTAAAAGATTTATTTATGCATACCGAACCGGGGTACAGGACAGAGGTGCAGGGGCAGTGAGAGACAGAGTGGGGAGCAGACCAGGCAGTTCAATGAAGTACACTGCTGAGGGGAGCAGCAGGCGGGTCCGGAGAGGTCTGCCGTGCCATGTGGATCACCTCTGGGGCTGGGTATTGAACTCACACTGAAGCAGCTGCGGCTAGCTTGCAGTGCTGCGCCCTAACCTGTTGCGTCACCAGGGAGGGCCTGATTTGATTTTATCTGACCCTTTGTTTTGTTTCTCAGCCTTCCACATATAAGTGATACCATCTGGTGTTTGTCTTTCTACTGATTTATTTTGCTCAGCATAAATCCATCCAGTTTCATCCATTTTGTCACAAAAAAAATTATCTTTTTTTATATAGCTGAGTAACATTGCATTGCACATATGTACCACATCTTCCTAATCTATTCATCTACCTTTGGGCACGTGTTTCCATAACTTGGCTATTGTAAATAGTGCTGTATTGAACATGTGAGTGTATTTTCCCCTTTGAATTAGTATAGATTCTTTGGGTAGACACTAGAGTGGAAAAGTTGGGTCATATGGCAGATCCATTTTTACTCTTTTGAGAAAACTTCATACTGTTTTCCATATGGAATTGACCAGTCTACATACTCACCAACAATTGTTTCTGGTCCTATTTTTTCACGAGCCATTCCTATTGGTGTGAGTTCATGACTCATTGTGGTTTTGATTTACATTTCCCTGATTATACAAAAGGATGAGCATTTATTGATGTACCTATGTCGTTTTTGGAGACGTGCCTGTTCAACTCTTCTCCCCAAATTTTGATTGGGTAGTTTTCATTAAGTTGTATGAGTTCTTTATAGATCTTGGATATAAGCCCCTTATCAGATGTATAGTGCAAATATTTTCTCCCATTCACTGAGGTGTCTTTTTGTTTTAGTGGCTATTTCTTTTGCTGTGCAAAAGCATTTTATTTTTATGTAGTTTTTAATGTTCTTTTTGTTTTTCTTGCTGGTGGAGATGAATCCACAAATACCTCATTGAAGCCTATGATATAGTGTTTTATGTTTTCTTCAATGTATTTTATGGTTTTAGGTGTTACTTTTTTTATATATGGTGTGAGATACAGGTCTAGTATCACTCTTTTGCATGTGTCTGTCTAATTTTCCCAACACCATTTATTGAAGAAAACCAGCTCTTATAACAATTTAAAGAGAAAAGCAGAACATAGAATTGCCTATGATCTTATTTATGTGGATATATCATACATACATATGAATAGAAGAAATTCATATATGTAAATGTACCTAAATTTTCAGTGTTTGTCTGTGTAGTAAGTTTTTTTTATTATGTTTACCTTCCATATTTTTCTAACTTTTCTATAGTGTGCATGTATAATTATCTAATAGTGAACTG